ACTGTTGCGATCCTACTTTATCGGTTCTTGTCATGTTGGTGTCTCGAAACGTTTTTCACGTAGTATCAGCATTGCAGTCTATTGCTTCTCTTTTTACAATAGTTTGAAAAAACTATTTTAGTGTTGTTTGCTCCATGCAGGCGCAAGAAATGGTTTTATCAATAACAGCTCAAGGTCAATCATAATTGTTTATGCAAAGTGGAGTATCAGGTGTTTCTCTCTGCCACTTTTATGTTTCATTCCTTTTTTATTTCATCGTTATTTTCCCTCGCATCCACTAATTTTTTCCCAGGTGCCATAGCATGAATATGTCCCAAAATGAAAGTTAACATATATACATATGGAAACAGGTATGTCAGGATAGTTCTTAATTCCAAGTGGACCGCTGGGGTATAAGGTGTTTTTATACTTTGTTGCTTTTGTATTTCGTCGTTATTTTCCCTAGCCCCCAACTAATTTTTCCTGGGTGCCATAGCATGAATATGTCTCAACATGAACTAACATATATCATAAATATGGAGATAGGTTTGTCAGAAAAAAAGGCGAAGTACCAACATTAGGAAAAATTTCTGAGAAGCGCGTGAAGGGGTAAAATGGCAATTGGGATTTGCCCTTTTTTGGGCTGGGAAAATGGGATTTACTGTACTGGGACTGGGATTCGACCACTGGGAATGGGATGAACAATTTCGAAGATGGGAAAGGGATTGTTTTTGTTTTGTTTTGTTTTGTTTTTTTAGCGCTCCCCGATCCTATTTTTTGACACGGCTGCTTAATTGAGTCTATTCTTTTGAATAAAGAATTAAAATTCTGCATCATTAGACCTCAGTAGACACATAGAATCATTACATTTTTCGTTTTGGCGTGCTAGCTACCAGGCTCCACGCGGTTTTACCGTTTAGCTCTGTCAGTTTTCCTGGTCAGCGGTTTGTTGTTGATGAAATGATATGCGTATGTTTGCACGTGGCGGGAAAGATAAAAATGGCCGCCAATTCGCGGACTATGATCATCGAAATCAACTATATTAACGCAAAAAATGCTGCAATACACACGGAAAACTGTAAACTTTCGTTAAACTTAAGCTGCAGCCCAAGAGAATTACAAAAGATGATTATGGAAAAGTGTGGAGTTGAGGATTCTGCTGCGAAGAGGGGGTTTGCGGACCATGTACTGNCGAGAGAATTACAAAAGATGATTATGGAAAAGTGTGGAGTTGAGGATTCTGCTGCGAAGAGGGGGTTTGCGGACCAGGTAACCCTAAAAAAGCGCCTTTTGTATTGCGAACTAATGATCACATCGAAATGCTTAGAGAGAGTAAATCACGCTCCTTGCTCATCTGAGTGATTCACCGAGTGTCATCAAAAAGAAACAGCAAACATCGTGTTTGAGAGTTCATCGTCTTCAACCTGCACTGATTAAAGTGACGAGTACAGCAGCAGCAAAAGTGAGACAGTGAGTCTGACGAGGATTGTGCAGATTACACAAGTGGTTTCAATATGGTTATGCCAACAAGGGCTGGAAGACAAAGACTGCTCACCAGAACAATGAGAGATTTTCTTCAGTCCAGGTGACGGTATGTGTGTATCCAAACGACGTCAGTCCACACTTTTAAGTAATTACACATTTTAGTCTGCAAACAATCACTGGAGATGGGATTTTAGATTTGGTAACTGGGATTTGGCAGAAATTTGGGCTGGAAACTGGGATTTGGTACCCCCCTTCATGACCCTCTTCTCACTGATTCTACAGAGTGGAATACCAGCAATGGGGTTCACCTCACATTCACATGCTTATATAGCTAGAAAGTACGCCAGTATTTTTGTTTCCAAACAAAATGATGATGATACTATTGTTACAAAGTTTATTGACGGGTCATTGATAACAGTATTTGTTGTCAATTGCCATTTAATGACCCGGAACTGCAAAAGCTGGTTAGCAGGCAGATTCACAGGCACTCTCATACCTGTAGATAGAAATCAAAGAATGAATGTAGATTTAATTACCCACAACCACCTACGAGGGCAACTGAAATACTTTATCTTTTGGAGAAAAATACACCTCGACACAACATAAAACAACACAAAGACACTTGGAAAACTAAATTAAATGATTTGAAAGCAGGTGAATGTGTAATATTTGAGGACCTCTTCTGAAGTTAAATGTTACCGAAAGTAACTATAAATTGGCTATGAAATCAGCATTAAACTCTCCAACCACATTTTTGACAGGACAACCAAATGAATTAAGGATTAATAATTATAATATTACTAGTCTTAAGGCGTGGAATAAATATGGATATCCAGTTTGTAGTCGTAGGGGCCGAGATCGATCTAAAACTGGAAAGCAGCTTTTAAAGTATATTAGTGCTTTCGCACTAGACACAAAAACAAACAAGCGTAGTTCAGCAACTTCCCTGACTACTGCTTTAAAAGGAGTGTGTAAAATACTGAAAGGGTAAGACCTTTACAACGTGATCAGTTCTGTGAATATCTCAAAAGCTCAAGGACAAGTTGAGATAACCAAATTCCAGTTTACCTGGAAATACTTGCAGAGAAAAAATCCAGAAGTTAACGTTGGGCTCATTTTAAGAAATACAAATAAATTAAAGACGTCATGAAACTATAAGAACGTATTAAAACACAAGTTACTAATTTTGTAAGTTTGAAGCCACTCAAGTCTATGTGACCCTACATGCGGAGCGTTTTCTTGCATACGCTTTGTAAAAACAGATCAAAAAGGCACTGCTCGCAGGGTGCGTCTCTGTTCTTCGAAGACGAGCTCGCAATTTCTTTCTTCTTTTGGCTGTAAACTTTTCGAACAGATTTTCAAACGTTTTTTAACGCTGGATATTTCTCCATTGCTTGTGGGGGGAGCGACAAAGCCCGGGAGAATAGGG